GCAGCGTATTGTCAGAGGCTTTTCACTCCTCTGAATTAGACACGGCCTAACACACACACACACACACACACACACACGCACACAGTCGCTCCAGCGATAAGCCGTCACGCTAACTCCAGATCTGATTTTTCTGTAGCCAGAGGCTCTGACCAAATATAAACAGCCCTTTTATTGAACTTTAATAACGCTTTTTATTAAGTTAGGACTTAGCGACTGTGTTTGTTGTTTTTGGAGTGGATCCAAGGCAAAATTTGGCTGCAGTCAGCAGTAACAGTGTCCTGCAAGCTCACCATTTAAGCGCAACTATGTACAATAGAAACAGTTATCATAGAATAGAAAATGATTTGTAATGAAGCTGAATTACAGCACTTTAGTCATTTCAATATGCATTTTCCTATCGCGTTAACTATGAACATTAGGTTTTAATTTATTAAAAATAAACTGAATGTATTTGTATTGAAAATAATCTTACACACACACACACACACACACACACAACAAATATGGGGTTGGTAAAATTGTTAACGTTTTTAAAATCAGGCTGCATTTATTTGATACAGTAAAACAGTAATATTGTGAAATATTATTACAATTTAAAATACATTTTCTATTTTAATATATTTAAAAATGTAATTTACTCCAAAGATGGCAACTTTTAGCAGTCATTACTCTAGTCTTCAGTGTCACATGATCCTTCAGAAATCATTCTCATTATGCTGATTTGATACTCAAGAAACAATTCTCATTATTATGAATGCTGAAAACTGTTGTTCTGCTTTTTTTTTTGTGGAAACTGTGATACATGAGGATTCTTTCATGAATAGAAATTTCAAAAGAATATCATTTATTTGAAATTTTAATTTGAAAATATTTTGCAAAGTCTTTACTGTCGCTTTTGATCAATTTAATGCATCTCTTGCTGGAGAAAAGTATTAATATTCAAAAAAAATGCCATTAGAAACTCACTTATTTCCCCAAGATATCCATAAGCTCCCTTTGAACCTTTTATTTATTGTGAATTTCTTTCTTGCCTCTAGCTCCTGAAATGCACCCCATTTAACTGGGTAGTTGATCAAAAATGATCATTTTGTAAGGCTCAATTTGTTAGCGCATTAGTCATCAGGTAATAATTAACAACAATTGATTAATCTAGGTAAATGATCATTTACATATAGCACTGTGGGTAACCCGACTGTATCTCATTCACCTTTGTTCTTGTTTTTCCTTTTTATTTTTTACAATAATAATAATTTATACAATATAATTGATACCAAATGTATACTGTATATGGAATGTAATAATGTATTCATATACTGTACATACAGAAATTAACTAATCAAAATGTATTTTTAATAATAATTACAACAACAACAGGCCAGTTTAAATTGGATTTATACTGCATTAATTATCACAATCCCTTTTCTTTTTTTATAATAGTAATTTAAAAATGTATAATTTAGCTTACTAATTTATACAACGGTTTAAAATGTAAAATGTATACAACATTTTATACAAATGTTTAAAAATATATGAATTGTGTTGGCACCAATAGCCTTGTGGGCAACGTGCCGACGTATTACGCCATTATGCTACAGGCGGCCCGAGTTGGAATCCCTTCCCGATCCCGCCCCCCTCCCTCTCTCCCACTTTGCTTCCTCTACACTGGCCTATCATAATAAAGTCAAAAATAAATCTTATATATATATATATATATACAAATTCTGTATATGCTGAAATTAACATTAACAAAGCTTATTAAATGATGTAAACGTATTGTCCATACAGTGATACCTAATGCTTTAGCTAATGTTAACGAATTACACCTAAATGTAAAATGTTAACAGAAATTCTATTAATATTTACCCTCATTTTGTTCCAATAGACAATGACAACACCAATCAGTCACCATTTACTTCCAATCAGTTACCATTCAAAAAAAGATGGAATAAAAGTGCATCGTTTCAAGTCTGGGTGAACTATCCCTTTAAGTGTCCTTGGTGAATAATTTGTTGATTTATGTATGTCTGCTGAATGACAATAAAATTAACCTCGACTTTTCTGTCCATTCCAGGCATCTATATTGCTGTAAAGACATTGTCCTCCGTAGGAGCACGTCTGGCAGTCTGGGTTTCAGTATTGTGGGTGGACAAGAAGAACTCAACTGTAACCAGTCCTTCTTTATCCGCTCTATCGTAGAGGGCACACCGGCCTACAACGACGGCAGGATACGGTACAGACACCTGGAATACGTAGAATCTACTATTGTCGGAAACTATGCTTTATGTAGAACACCTATAAATAAACTGCCTAGCACAGTTTATTAAATACAGCTTTTTTGTATTTACCCTCATTCTTGTCATGACTCCAACATACTAAAACTTCATCCCTTTTGTTTTTTTCCCATTAGCTGTGGAGACATCCTGCTGGAGGTGAACGGGAAGAGCACTTGGGGAATGACACACACGGCTCTAGTCCACCTGCTCAAGGAGCTGAGGGGTCGGATCACTCTCACCATCGTTTCTTGGCCTGGAAGCCTGCTATAGGACTACTCTGCATGTGGGAGGGGCTTATCACATTGACCCTGCACTAGGGGGTGGAGCTTACACTACAGACCTTTTAATGACAAATAAAATGGTGGATTTGAGAATCCGAGACTTCCTTGAAATGTGGGGCTTATGATACGGACTGCCCTTCAGGAGCAGGAAATGACACATGGACCTCATTCAGGTAATCGGAGCTCAGACTCTAAACTTGAAGGCGGAGCTAATGACATGATTCCGCCCACGAGGAAGCACGTTTATCACACGCCAAAACCAGGAGGAGCTTTCACAATTGCCCTTTTGTCAAGGCATAAAGATGATATGTGTGCATGAGAGGAACATTGTGTCATTACTGATGGAAGGCTGAGCTTTTAATCTGTATTAAAGGACCTGGGAGGGTCTAAAAACACAATTTCAGGATGCAACGAGGAGCGCGTCAGTCAATAAATGAGTCGGAAATAGATGTATAAACATTATGGGCACTGTGCTATATGTAGTCCGATTGTGTGACTCTATTGTTGTTCGTAGAGGACGTTGAGATGCTGCACATAAGAGGGATTTCCTTAGAACGAGAGGTGAAAGGGATACTGGGATGTGTTGGGGGACACACGTTGCCAATTCCATTAGTTTTACATGTTAGAAAATGCATCGAAGTGGACGCACATTCTTTACTATAAACGTCAATGTCTGAAAAAATAACTAAATGGATTCAAGCACTTGTACTATGACTAATATTAATTTTGTTTTATTTCTCTCTGTTCCTATGGCTTTCGGATATTGGCTTCATTTTGTTCGTTCTGACAGTGGTTCGTTCTCTCCATCCGCTGGCATGGAGACACATTTGCCAAGTAGTTCTATCTATGTTGGTATGTTTCAGATGCTGTCGCATATGAAAATGAACTATAGTGAGTAATAAAAAAGAATAGCAACTGAAAAAAAGAAAAGCAATGTTAATAATCTATTTTAAAAATGGATGATAACTTATAATGCTTATAATGATAACGTGAGATTTTGGCGGCCTTGCTGACTTTTTTTTTTTGTTTACTTTGGAGGTGAAAGGATAGGACAGAGTGGCGTGTGAAAAGCTCACTGTGTGAGTGTGTGTGTGTGTGTGTGTGT